CCTGTTTGAATTCGGCAGCTAGACGGGAAGTGTGTGAGTCCATGTGTATATTGAGATCACCAATAACAAGAATATTTGAGTGTGCAGTGCGGAGAGAGATTAGGAACTGATGAATGTCAGAAATGAAAGTTGGTTGTGGTTTAGGGGGGCGATATATGACAGCTACTGTAGCAGAGAAAGGATTATTGCATTTAAAAACAAGGCTTTCAAAGGAGGAAGTACCAGGTACAGACAGGTAGCCTGACGTAGTCCGACTCAATTCTAGTCAGAATATGAGTCTGATACTGCTCCATAGAGCTGTGATTATGGTGCGTGTTTCGAACGAACCAGGAAAAAAAATGCCTCTGCACTCAATTGGATAGACCTACAACCAATAAGAGCAACGGAGTGCGTGACGTATGTTAAGCGAGGCATAGTTGTTGTCCACAAAAATCAAAGCGTGCAGTTTCACGCCTAGAATAAGAAGATGAGACTTGATCGCGTTTCTCTGTTCCTCTTTCAAAATTAATTTGCTGTCGATATCTTCTAGAACAGACCTAATAGCAGAATCTACTCACCCAAACTCTCCAGCGGCAGCCATTATTGTTGTCACCCAAGCGCTTTGGTCACGTGGTTGATTACGTTACTCTTGATCATCTGTCCATCATCGTATAAAGCCCGCCCTGACAATTTGATTGGATCGCCTGACAGTGGACGATAATACTCGCGCTACTATGGAGCAGAGCCAGACCGAACTTCCCCGAACTCAAACCTTGTGGGCGGGACTAAGTTCGGACTGGCACCCAGGCTAACAGACAGGAGGGACACTGCAAAGTAGCTGCGATATAAAACAGCAAGGCCCCACCCCGCCAAGTTGTGCGGGCTTTGTCCAGGTATGAGTACCCTTGTGGGCAGGCCTCATTCAGGGAGCTGTAGACATCCGGCTGTTGCCAAGTCTCTGTGAGGCAGAGAATGTCTATTTCTTTTTCCAGAATGTGATCGTGGATGAATCCGGATTTATTTGACAGTGACTGCACATTAAGCTGTTACAGTGTGATGTGGGAATTTGAGTCCAGTTTATGCAGAGTGCAGAGAACGCTGAAATCCACTCCAGGTCTTCCAGTTCGCCGGTCCCACTCAGCCATATCTGAGGTAGGCATAGCGGCGCTCAGATGACGCAGATGGTGACGTACCTGTTGCGCGACAGGACGTGATGCCGACCAGAAGGATGCGATGGAGCTGTGGTCACCGCGTTTGGACATTACAAGGCGGCACCCGGATCCCCGGTGGATGTAACGGGGTCGACGTGGAAGATCCAATGGAGCTCTGTTAATGTTGAGAATCCGAAGTGGTTGTATCGTGGTGTCGATGGGCAACAAGTGGCGTGATGGCGTGCCGGTGCTAACAGTTAGCCAGGATCCAGGTGAGCAGTGGTGGAAAAAAGCCATACCCAGAAGGATGATCCACAGCTTCAACAGAGGTGGTGTTCCATTCGCAGACCTCCGCTGGAAGGCGGAGGCACTGGAAGATTTATGAAGACTGATGGTGCTGATAGGACTCTGTAAACAGAAGAGTAGCTCCAGCTAACTCTGTTAGCGTAGCCAACCCAAACAAGTTGCCAACGGGCTAACAGGCCAATGTGCATGCAGAGATAATCCAGGGAGGGCATGAAGCACTTAGACATCTCCATAGGAATAATCCAGTTTGATGGAAACAAAAAGGAAGCAGCAGGATTGGGGGATTTGAAGCCCAGAGAAAAGGACGATTCACTTAGCAAGCAGTGTCCAGCGTAGTGACAGGTAAGTCCAGGGTACCACACAAATTCGGTGTGTACTACAAAATAATCTGTCTCTTACTGTAGTAACTGAGTTCCCAGAATACGGTACAGTAGGATGGATTTTGCAGAGAAGGACAGATTTTTACGGATTTGCAGAGAAGCGGCGAACAGCCAACGCCAGCGTCCTCTCTGCTCCTCCCATGATAAACATGATGACCTAACTTATAACTAACTTATATAGCTTGTAACATATATCGTGAGATTACTTGTTACTTGCTTGTTGTCGGTTGGAGTAGTTTATTTGAGTCCTGTCCGTCCAGAGGACAATGAAATTGTTCAAAGAAGGCCTACTACCCCTCCAGCTAACCTGAAGTCAGGAGACGTGCCGCAAAGTAATGACACTGGAGCTGTTGCTGCTCCAGAACCATCAACAGCAGCAAAACAAGAAGTAAAATGTGAACAGAAATACCAGCATGATTATGATACCCGACTAAGGCTGAAAACTGAAGACTCCACCCACCAGTCTCCTTATAAAAAATTAGCTACAGAACTCAGTGAACTGTCTGAGGAATTTGATAGAATATTGCCTTTGATAGAAGTCCCAAATCCCCTATCCAACAATGCACAGGACAGAACAATGCTAGTGTTCAGGCCATGGACTTTAAATGAAGCAAAAAGTGCAGTTGAAGGTCTCACTAGTCCACAGGAGGATGTTGAACAGTGGATTTTAGGAATGGAAGGAATTTATATGTCCTACAAACTAAATGGACAAGAATTTGGACAAGCACTGTTTTGTGCTGTTGGTCCTACTCTGTGGGGACAAATAGGTAGCCAGTACACAGGTAGAGATCAAAATGGTGGAGTTAATCCTTATGGCCAAGGAGATCTCAATGGAACAGTTATAACAGCTTTACAGCCTCAGTGGGCTGCTCTTTGCAATGCCATGCTGTTGGATTAATTGTACAAGTTATTCTACTTTAATCATATTATACTTATACATTCATATTTACACATTTGCATATTCCTGTATACTTGTATTACACAAAGTGTTGAAATGTTTCGCTTGCTGTCTTTCTAATGCTTGTTATTAGTGTGTGCAGGAAGCAAGGTCAAGGAGAATGGAGAATTGCACGCACTAGCACCGGATAAGGAGTGAAAGCTCTCCTTATCTTATGATATTGTATGATGTTATGCAGAACTTCTGGTTCCGACTGGTTTCACCCCCTCCTCCCTTTTAGCAGTCGGAACCAACATTGTAGCCAGGGCGTTCCTTAATAAAATGCTTGGAGGGCAGAGCTGTTTCAGAGTGCTTTGGAGAATTGTAACTGAACAGTCTCTGATCACTCTCCTTGCAAGTAAATCATACTAAATTCTCTGTGTCTTTCTTTGTACAGGTTACTGAATAAGGTGTTTGGTGTTTAAACCTAACAAAAAGGACACGATTTATGCCTTTATGGATGGTAAAGATGTTTGTGTTTTACTCTCTACAGGATTTGCTAATAATTTGATTATCAGTTAACACCGTAAAACAAATCAAGAATCCGATATGTCTCAGCAGCTGTTTTGATTGGCTAAAATATCAACATGAGAGGAGGTTACCTGATGAGCTTGAAGAATTAGTACTGAATGTCCCTCCCCTTTACGGTGCAGGAACTGAATTTAAATACACGTATATCTGACTAATGCAAGGTTTAATATGTGGACCAGATGCAAAAAAAAAAAAAAAAAAAAATATATATATATATATATATATATATATATATATATATATATATATAGCCCTTCCAAGACTCTTTATTGAAGTTTCACAAGGGAGAAAAAGCTTTCACAAAACAAAAAGGGAGGTTTAAAAATTCTGTATTTATCTTGGAATTAGGGCTGGGCTATATGGCCGAAAAATAAAATCATCATCTTGGACGATTACATTTTGAATCGATTTTAATTTAAGTATTAAAAACTACATGCATATATTTTTTAAAATGGGTTTAATTCATTCAAAATATATTGTGCAAAGTTCACCCAACAATAATTGTACTGATTTTTTTAGCAGTAAAATAAAAATGTACACCTATATATTCAGTACAAATGCAAGAAAAAACAGCTTAAGTTTCTGAAATATGCAATTTATCAAACAGTTAACTTGTATTGATCTTCTGGGAAGTAGATGGTTTGTTAAACAGCAGCTGCTGAGAGCCCAGTTCATGTCGAAATAATACACAGTTAAACTCGTGTACGGCTGAACAGATCCACTGGACCAAAGGTCTGTAGTAGTTGCAAAAAGCAAAGCAACTTCTAATACAGCCCTTGTAGTCACTCGACTCGGCAGGTCATATTTTGGATGACATGATCTACACTTGTCTTATGGCAGCGCTTTAGAAAGCGAGGCAGCCATGGTTTGTGGTGTTTTCTTGTCCTGGTCATCTTTGCCCGTGCTACCGACGCTGCACTCCTAAAGCTGAGATTGCTGCTCCCGTTCTGTGGGGCGCCTTTGCCAGAGATGCTGAAACGAGTTAGTTGTTCTGCTAGTCTTGGTTTTAATAACTGTAGTCTGCTCCACATCTGTCTTGTCAAAGCCGAACATTTTCCATATAATTGACGGAACACGAGTTCCTTTTCTCTGTACCAACTGTTCAGATTGAGCAGCGGCCATGGTGTGAGTAAACAGTGCAGCATGCTATCAGGCGGAAGGAGGAAAAATTTAGAGAAGCAAACGCAGAAGTAAAAAATGCAGAAGAAGAGACTTCCTCGATCTTACAATTTAGCTACATTTCAAATCCTGGACTTTATAAAAACATTAAATAATTGAATTTGATTTACCCCCCAGCTGTACTTGGAATAATATAAACCAGGTTTGAGGCGCCTGATTGCTATAATTTTAAAAGAAGAGCAGATTAACAACACTTAAGATTGTAAGAAAAGAGGTGGAATAACCCTTTAACTTTTTGCTGAACCAGTATTACGAGAAGAAGAGCATAACTGCTGACCATTACCTCACCGGTTGCACTCTAAGCTCTTACACACTGATGATCAAGTGTCATGAATCGACCACTGTTTTAGTAAAGGAGGCCGTGGAGAGATTCTTTGTTTAATCAAAATGAAATATAGAGAAAATAATGCTGACAAAGGATAATGCAGGAATGCTTTTAAGATGTTTGTAGGTGGCTTTGAATTCTGATGTGCCTTTGAAGTCTACATTTCTTTATGCACATTTTTCCACAGGACAGACATTCATAAATGTTCTTACCTGTGTGAATTCTCATGTGATCTATTAAATGTTCTTTTTTAAGAAAGTTTTCTCCACATGTCAAACATGGGAAAAATGTATCTCCTGTATCTTCAGTCTCTTGCTTCAGAACAAGCTGCTCTTCCTGCTCACTTATGTTGAGCTCCATGGTTTCCTCTTTATTCCAGGGATCTTCTGGCTTTAGCTGCTCTTCCTGCTCACTTATGTTGAGCTCCATGGTTTCCTCTTTATTCCAGGGATCTTCTGGCTTTTGCTGCTCTTCTTTTATCTGCAGAGGTTCTGGTTCCTCTTGGTCCAAACTGGAATTCCTCTCCTGTCCACAGAGCTGCTGGTCAGAGAAATCCTCCTCTTTCCCAACATAATCCTGCAGGCGGTCTGAAAGACAAACAGCAGAAAGACTTTCTATTGGTGGTTAAATAAACAACACCTCACATAAAAGCACCAAATTCTGTCCTTCAGTTGAGCAGTGAATGGATCCTGTCAAGCAACCTGAAGACATGAAGTTCCTTCTGGCCTAATTTTGTTTTCCTCACAAAGAATTATTAAAGTCTGTAAAGCATTTACATCCAACACCACGGTGACTGTCTGGCAAATGAGGAAGTAATGAGACACCCTACCCTCAGCAGAGCTTCCTGTACACCTCTGCCTGGAAGAGACAGACCCCAGCTCAATGTGTCACAGATTGAGCAGATTTTAAATTATTTTCTAATCAAATTTCTCTGTTCTATCGTATTAAAAATAAGCATTGAGGTAAGAAAAAGGAAGAACAGGCCTAAATAATAAAGCTTTCCTAATTTTTTGCTAAATATCAAGCAATCAGCAGGGACTGTTTTTTCCCCTGTAAAAACTGTTTGAAACAGAAAATGGAGTTAGTACAGTTATAAAAACAGAGTGACACAAGAACTCAGTTTTTAGACTTAGACGTTTGTCATTTTCTATACACAGAATGTATACAAAATAAAATTTTGTTTAATACAGCTTTCCAGACAGTAAATGAACATTTCCATTCCATAAAGCGCAGCAGTGATCAAATGTAAACAGCAAGGGAGAAAAAACATGATGCAAAAAGACACATTGATATGGAAGTTGAAAGCATTAAGCTACAGTTGTGTTCGAAATAATAGCAGTGCCTCAACAGCAGCAAGAAAATCACTTGTTTTATTAACATTTCAAACTCTATACCCCAGATAAGTTTCTGGGGGGTAAAATAAAGGTATAGAAAACCAACAAACCCAACAGGACAGCCATGCATACTGTGGATTCTGTGAAATTGAATGATTAACTGAAAAGGGTGTGTTCAAAAAAATAGCAGTGGTGAGTTCAATTAGAGAGGGCATCAATTAGGGAGGGTATTCTGGGAAAAAAGGGTGTTAACAGGTGATCCGTATTTAAGGATCAAGACAACTGGCATGCTGGCTGTGCATTTGTCCTGAAAAAACAAGGAAAATGGGTCGTTCAAGACACTGTTCTGAAGATGAGCGTTTCCTAATAAAAAAATTGATTAAAGAAGGGAAAACATACAAAGAGGTGCAGAAAATCATTGGCTGTTCAGCTAAAATGATCTCAAATGCCCTGAAATGGGAGCAAAAAACTGAAAAACGAGGAAGAAAAAGAAAGACAACCCCTCGAATGGACAGAAGAATAGCCAAACTGGCGAAAACTCAGCCAATGATGGGATCCAAGAGGATCAAGCAAGACCTTCAGTTGACAGTGAGTACTGTGACAATCAGAAGACGTCTTACTGAGGTTAACCTTCCAGCAAGAAGCCCCCGCAAAGTCCCACTGCTGAGAAAAAGACATGTGCAGAAGCGTTTACAATTTGCCAAAGAGCACATTGACTGGCCTGAAAAGAAATGGCATAATATCTTGTGGACAGATGAAAGCAAGATTGTTCTTTTTGGGTCTAAGGGTCACAGGCAGTATGGCAGACGCCCTGCAAACACAGAATTCAAGCCACAGTACTCACTGAAGACCATTAAGCATGGTGGTGCAAGCATCATGATATGGGGATGTTTTTCATACTATGGTGTTGGTCCGATTCACCGCATACAAGGGATCATGGATCAGTTCCAGTACATCAGGATCCTGGAAGAGGTCATGCTGCCATATGCTGAGGAGGAAATGCCTTTGAGGTGGACCTTTCAACAGGATAATGACCCCAAACACACCAGCAAGCGAGCAAAAGCATGGTTCCAGATGAACAAGATTCAACTGATGGAGTGGCCAGCACAATCCCCGGACCTTAATCCCATTGAAAACTTGTGGGCTGACATAAAAAGTGCAGTGCATGAGGCAAAACCAAGAAACGCTGAGGAATTGTGGAATACAGTGCAATTATCCTGGGCTGCAATACCTGTGGAACGATGCCAGAAGTTGGTTGACTCCATGCACCACAGATGTGAAGCAGTCATCAGAAACCGTGGTTTTGCAACAAAATATTAGTTTAGGATACTCAGCTAGGTTCACTTATCAAGAATTTCTTTGTTTGTACAGTACATTTTTGAGTTTCCAAGGAAAGATGGCAACACTGCTATTCTTTTGAACATGCCATTTCTTACTTTATTTGAAATATTATTATTATTATTTAAGTTTTGATGACTTTGTGCAATTGTTTTGCTTTGGAATAGAATGTACTGTGTCCCCAATGTATCTGTGTTCATTAAAGTACAATTTCTTTGAAGAATTTTGACATTTACTCATTTTTCTAAAGGCACTGCTATTATTTCGAACACAACTGTATATGGTGCAAATATGCAGTATTTCCGGGGGTTTTTTTCTCAGTGAAGAAGCTGTTGAAGAATCTGATGGACCTGCATCAAATGTTTCGAAGCCTCTTCCAAGAGGCAGCAGGGAGAACAGTCCATGGTGGGGGTGTGAGGAGTCATTGATGATGTTACGGGCTACGACTTCCTTGACTATTGGTTTAGCCCTGATTAGCTGGGGCCTGTAGTTCATAAGTCTAGACTGTACTGGAGGCAGGAAGGACTGCAAGGCCTGGATGATGAGGTGATCACCTCCAGTCCCTTACATGGAAATGCAGTGTCCCATTCTGGACATGTTAAAAGAGGCAAGCTTTTGCTGATGTGGGAACTCTTGTCTGGGTTCCCCATTACAGAGGAGCAAAGTAACTCAGCCCTATCACTCCAGAGGAGGATGCTCGCTTTCACTGCAGGAGAAAAAGACATTTGACCAAACCAAATGAAGATGCTCCGAAGAAACGAAGAAAAAGAAATTTGACCAGATCAATTGAAGAAACCCCAATAGACATAAAGGAGGGGTCAGATGATTAAACCATACTAATATTGATTTTTTTATTTGATATTTTGCTTAAGACTTGCTATCTTGCTCTGTCAGAGTTTGCTAATAAAAGATCAATAAACATTAACATATGTGGGGAAAGAACATTTTTGAGTCATCACAACAATGCTTGTGGGCTCTATACAATAAAATAGGCTATCAGGGTTTGTCTGAAGCTAAAACCAATTTATCACCCATGGGGCTAATATGGCCACAAAAACAATGACGACCACTATTTCAAGATCCATTAGGGTAAGGGTAGGATCCATCACGAATTGTCACAACTGATATTCTCATGGCCTCAGATAATGAACTTATCTGTGCTCGTCCTGTTGGATCTCAGCGCTGCATTTGATACAGTTGATCAATATTTTCTTTAAGAAAGACTTGAATAGTTTGTAGGAATTACAAAAACAGCAGTAGACCTGTTTTAATCTTATTTATCTGACCGATTTCAGTTTGCTTGTGTTAATGATAAATCTTCCTCATGCTCAAAGGTTACCTGTGGAGTACCACAGGGATCAGTGCTAGGACCAATTCTCTCTACTTTATATATGCCCCTAATGGCTAGAATAATTAGACAGCATGGGATTAATTTCCACTGTTATGCTGATGATACTCAGCTATATCTGTCTATAATCCAGATGAAGCTAACCCATTATGTAACCCTTCAGGTTATATTAATATTTTTTTTCTCCTACGCCCCGTAAACATTTTCTTAAATACAGTGCATTGTAGACCATTTTACCTTAAACAGTAATAATCACATTTTACTTAGCTTGGTTAATGTTTTAAACTCACACACTAGCAGTTTTAAACACTGCAAATATCCATAACCCTATAGGGCATACAGACATTCTCTATCAGCTTGAAAACACACAGAAAATGTAGTGTTGGTTAACAACTGTTATTTATTTATGCTACTGTACCTTTCTGGTCAGTCAAGTGCAAAATCAAGTTTAAGAAATGTGATTGGTTTTGTTGGGATGGGAAAGAACCAGACGGGATGTGTAATTGCCTGCAGCTACGTACTGGCAGTCAGCCGGTGGCCGTTCATGGATGAGGTCAGATCTATATTACTGTGACTGCTACTTTTTTTTTTTTTTGCTATTCATTTGGAGCTAAACATTTTTTGGTATGTTTTTGCCTGGGTTTTGGAGCAACAGAACCGGACCACACTCAACGTTTTGCTTGGTTGTTGGAGCTGCAGATCCAAACTAAGCTCGTGAGCCGGAAGGGACTATTTTACCGTTGGAGCAGTTTTATTGCCATTTATCTAAAACTGGTAATTCATGGTGGGGTGAGTAACCCGTCCCTCGAGGTTGTTCTGGGAGCCGCCATCTTTGGAACTGCTATTCTGAGGGTGAAAGCTAATGGTGTTCCCTCAGCTACGTTTGATAAGTAATTAATACCCAGTTATGGGTGGGTTACAATCTGTGTTCCACTGTGCTGAAAATTAACTGTGCTCGGTTAACGTGCTTTGTCCTTGGTGCAATACAGACCAGTAAGGTTTATTAAACTGGTATTCAGCTTTACCATTCTTCCTCCTTTATTTTAGTACAAGTTCAATGTCGCGCTGCATTTAGATCTTAGTTCTAGTTCTCTTAGCTTTGTTTTGGTACTCAGTTCCACACTATTTACAACATACACTCTGTTGCTTATTAATACACTATTTTACCCATTGTGAGGTGTTACGTTCACCAGGCCTGTTTGGTGGGGGTAACATTAAAAGAGACCACACAAGGATTTTCTTATTAACTAAAGATTGAATTTATTAAATTATACTAAAGAAACAAAAACAGAAACAAGCAAATGCAAGCTAACATAACAAAACCCAACCATAGAATACAAACCAAACTGGGTTCTGAGGAGGCAAGAGGGTGAACCTCGTGTCTGTTGCTTGCATGACAGCTTTTAAAGCAGATGAGCACCAATTAGGGCAAAACAGAACACCTGCAGAAGGCCTGCATCCAGAACCCTGCAAGGAAAAGGGCAGAAAACCACTGCAGCCATAACACTCCCCCCCCCTTAAAACAGAGGATCTAAACTAGGACCTCTGTAGCCATTTTTCTGTTAGTCTTGTCAATCAATGGCACAAGACAATGCATCAGCCAGCACATTTTCAGTGCCTCCAATGTGCCAAATATGAAGGTTGTAAGGTTGCAGTAATAAAGCCCACTGCATAAACCGCTGATTTAGACTCTGTAAGGAGTGCAAAAAGGTCAAAGGGTTATGATCTGAATACACCGCAACAGGAAATGCACCTCCACCCACATACCAGAACATCAACTTAATTATTCGACTATTGAGAAAGAGCCAAGGCCTCTTTCTCAACAGTCGAATAATTACGTTGATATTAAACTTCTTAGAAAGGAAACACACTGGATGGTCAACACCTTCATCAGTCTGCCACAAATTGGCTCCAACGCCCACTTGACTTGCATCAACTCGTACTTTGAATGGCCGCTCTAATCTCGGAGCAGACGAAACAGGTGCAGTGCTTAAGAGGAACTTATGCCTGTATCAATGGAAAATTTGTAAACTGGACCTTAGCCTTTAATCGGTCAGTTAATGGAGCCACTACCATAGAAAAATTCTCACAAAAGTTTCTATAGTAACCCACCATACCCAAAAAACCTCATCAACTCCTTTTTTGAGGTAGGAGATGGGAAACTATCAATGGCTTTGACTTTAGCGCTTACTGGTTTTACTTGTCCTTGCCCAACAACTTTACCCAAATGGGTCACTGTAGCTTTCGCAAATTCACATTTTGCGAAGTTCACAGTTAAATGAGCATCCTGAAAATGCTGAAACAATTTCCGAATAAATTGCATGTGTTTAGCCCATGTGTCACTGAAGACCACTACATCATCTAAGTAGACAGCACAACCTTCCAACCGAGCCACTATTTGATTCATCAACTGCTGGATAGTGGCAGGTGCATTCCTAAGACCAAAACTCATTAAAGCATAAGAGTATAACCCAGATGAAACAATAAAGGAAGATACCTCTTGGGCCTGAGCAGACAAGGGTACTTGATAGTAACCTTTGAGCAAATCAATTTTACTCACATACTTCGCAGTTCCAACACGATCAACACAATCTTCCATCCGAGGAAGTGGGTAGGAGTCAGGTTTTGTAATGCTGTTAAATTTCCTGTAATCAGTACAGAATCTATAAGTAGCATCAGGTTTTTTAACCAACAAACATGGTGAAGTCCAACTGGAACAAGATGTTTTAGCCAGGCCATTGTCCAGCAAGTACTGAATTTCTGACTCAAAAAATGTACTTTTCTCTGGAGGATCGCAATAAAAATGCTGACGGATGGGCTGTGCATCTTCCACATCAATGTCATGCTCCATTAAGTTAGTACATGTTGGAGTGTCACTGAACAAAGCATGACAGTCCAAAAGTAATGGCTTCAAGTGCTCACTTCTTTCTGAAGACAAATGACTCAATAATGTTTGCAAATTAGCCAAAATCTCAGAGTTCTTAGGTCTAGGCTGGAACACGGCATCATCTGGAGTCTGCACATCCTCATCTAATCCTGCTGTGCAGCTCAAGTCTACTTTCACAGAAGAGGCAACTGCCTTCACAACTTTATCTTCCAAAGTATGCCCAAAATAAGGTTTCAGTAAGTTTACATGACAAAGCTTAGTTGGTCATTTACAGTCTGGGGTAGAAACCATATAGTCTTGTGCAGACACGTCGCAACAGAGAATATGGACCGTAAAACTTTGCCTGAAATGATGAACCTTGAATGGGAAGTAAGGCAATCACCTCATCTCCTGGGTGAAACGCTTTCAGCTTTCTGGTCAGACCATTGTTTCATCTTTCTTTGAGCTTTTTTAAGATTCTCCAAAGCTAATTTGCCAGCCAAGCAAAGTCTGCGACGAAAACCATTAATGCAGTCAAACAAGTTTGATGGTGGATCAGAACTCTCCAAGTTAGCTTTTAAATAGCCAGAGGACCACGCACATGATGTCCAAACACTAATTCATTTGGACTGAACCCTGTGCTTTCTTGTACAACTTCACGAGCTGCCAAAAGAAGCCAAGGCAGACCTTCTTCCCACTCTCTACTCAACTCTGTGCAGTATGCTCGCAGCAATGTCTTCAGGGTTTGGTGAAAATGCTCTAGAGCCCCCTGGCTTTGAGCATAAAAGCACTGCTTTGTTGATGGACTACACCAGATTGATTCAAAATCTCAAGAACATTTTCGGACATTTTCGATTTATGCCCAGTAAGGTATGGGTCTAAAAACAGCCGATGAGGAAGTGGGGGCGAGTTTAGTCCGACAATGGAGGGACATGAGGGCGAAAAATAGCGGATCCAAGTGGAAAAAGGGTCCCGGCGTTCAAGCGCACCTCGATCTTCTAGCTGGTCAAACTTCACGAGTCGTTTTCCCCAATTTCAGTCATAAAAACAAAAGAAGCCGGCCTCCTGTCTGCTGCACTGTCTGCGGTCAGTTAAAATTTGGTAGAGGTGCAGCGGAGGGGGCGGGGACGTCTTAGCAGAGGACCTGGTTTCAAAGTATAAATCAGCCTTGAGAAACACTGGCTAAAGCCACAGGTTTTCGATATTCTTGTTTACTCCTACCTGATTTAGTTTTGGTATTCAGAGGACACTCGTTTTTCCAGTGTCCCCTCTGGCGACAATATTCTACGTTATATTTCCCAGTAGGATCCAATCTAGTTTTACCCGAGAGCTATGGCCACCTTTCAAATTATAATCCCTCACAGCTTTATGGGTCAGGATATACTAATCTGCTAAGATGACTGCTTTAGCAGCGGTTTTTACTTTTTGTTCATTTACATATGTGGCAACCCGATCTGGAATAATGTTCTTGAACTGTTCCAACACCATCAAATCCCAGAGGGATTCAAAATCATTCACACGTTCAGCTGATAACCAGCATAAAACTGGGTGTTTAGTTCTCTGACCAGATCTGTCTGTTTTTCAGCCTTTCTGCAGTTCCTAAATTGTTGCCTCTAATGTTCAGGAACCAATTCATAAGCCTTCAAAAACAGCTTCATAAGCTTCTTTGGCCTTACCCACCAGCACACTTTGCAGCAGAATGGAGCATTCTACATCACTCCAGTCATTGTCCTCTGCCATGCCCTCAAATAGAGAAAAAACACATCTGGATCTTGCTCATTAAACTTAGGTAACAGCTTCAACATGTTAACCAAGTTATATGCAGAAAACCCATCACCACCTTGAGACCTTTTGAAAGATCCACCACTTCACCTGCCCTCAGACCTCAACTTCAAACGCTCAGCTTCTAGAGATATTTTCTTCACCTCCAACTCATGAGCTAAGTTTTCTCTCTTCAAGCTCATGTGCTAGCTGTATTTTTTTTAACTCAATCTGCATTTTCACCTCACTTCTCTCAAATTGAAACTTTAATTGAGAAGCTTGAGATACTGTTGGACCTGATGATTCATCCTCCAACTTTGAGGCACCAGTTAAAGAATATGAACCATCAGAAGTTACATCTGTCACAGCAGCATCTGAAAGGGAAACAGTAAAGACATTCAGTTTTACAAGTTTGTCTCTTAAGAAACTTCTTAGTTGAGGCAACTTTAATCCTTTCGCAGCTTCATGATCAATTTTAAAGTGTTCAGCTAATTGACGAATCTGCTCCTTTGTAAGCTTTTCCAACATTTCCAAAGTTGGGAAAGACAAGAAAGAACCTACATTATCCATTGTCAAACCAAAATAATCCAACAAACCAACTTCCAAAACAAACTAGTCAGAAAATGTACAGGTGCTGGTCATAAAATTAGAATATCATGAAAAAGTAGATTGATTTCAGTAATTCCATTTAAAAAGTGAAACTTGTATATTATATTCATACATTACATACAAACTCATATATTTCAGATGTTTATTTTGTTTAATTTTGATGATTACAAATGACAACAAATGAAAATCTCAAATTCATCATATCAGAAAATTAGAATATTACTGAAGACCAATAAAAACAAAGGATTTATAGAAATGTTGGCCAACTGAAAAGTATGAACATGAAAAGTATGAGCATGTACAGCACTCAGTATTTAGTTGGGCCTCCTTTGGCCTGTATTACTGCAGCAATGCGGCGTGGCATGGAGTCGATCAGTCTGTGGCACTGCTCAGGTGTTATGATAGCCCAGGTTGCTCTAATAGTGGCTTTTAGCTCTTCTGAATTGTTGGGTCTGGTGTATTGCATCTTCTTCTTCACAATACCCCATAGATTTTCTATGGGGTTAAGGTCAGGAGAGTTTGCTGGCCAATTAAGAACAGGGATACCATGGTCCTTCAACCAGGTACTGGTAGCTTTGGCACTGTGTGCAGGTGCCAAGTCCTGTTGGAAAATGAAATCTGCATCTCCAAAAAGTTGGTCAGCTGCAGGAAGCATGAAGTGCTCTAAAACTTCCTGGTATGTGGCTGCGTTGACCCTGGACCTCAGAAAACACAATGGACCAACACCAGCAGATGACATGGCACCCCAAACCATCACTGACTGTGGAAACTTTACACTGGACTTCAAGCAACGTGGATGAAGTGCCTCTCTTCTTTTCCTCCAGACTCTGGGACCTTGATTTCCAAAGGAAATGCAAAATTTACTTTCATCAGAGAACATGACTTTGGACCACTCACCAGCAGTCCAGTCCTGTTTCTCTTTAGCCCAGGCAAGACGCTTCTGACGCTGTCTGTGGTTCAAGAGTGGCTTGACACAAGGAATGCGACAGCAGAAACCCATGTCTTTCATACGTCTGTGTGTGGTGGTTCTTGAAGCACTCACTCCAGCTGCAGTCCACTCTTTGTGAATCTCCCCCACATTTTTGAATGGGTTTTGTTTCACAATCCTCTCCAGGGTGCGGTTATCTCTCTTGCTTGTACACTTTTTTCGACCACATCTTTTCCTTCCCTTCGCCTCTCTATTAATGTGCTTGGACACTGAGCTCTGTGAACAGCCAGCCTCTTTAGCGATGACCTTTTGTGTCTTGCCCTCCTTGTGCAAGGTGTCGATGGTCGTCTTTTGGACAACTGTCAAGTCAGCAGTCTTCCCCATGATTGTGTAGCCTATAGAACTAGACTGAAAGACCATTTAAAGGCTTTTGCAGGTGGTTTGAGTTAATTAGCTGATTAGAGTGTGGCACCAGGGGCCATCAATTTTGAACCTTTTCACAATATTCTAATTTTCTGATATGATGAATTTGAGATTTTCATTTGTTGTCATTTGTAATCATCAAAATTAAACAAAATAAACATCTGAAATATATGAGTTTGTATGTAATGTATGAATATAATATACAAGTTTCACTTTTTAAATGGAATTACTGAAATCAATCTACTTTTTCATGATATTCTAATTTTATGACCAGCACCTGTAAAGGGCCCCCGACTCCATACTCCTGGAGCACCCCCCACAGGGCAGGACGGGGGACACGGTCGAATGCCTTCTCCAAGTCCACAAAACACATGTGGACTGGTTGGGCAAACTCCCATGAACCCTCAAGCACCCATTGTAAATACATTACAAATTTTGTAATTGTAGAATGAAAAAAAAAATAAAAAATCAAAACTAGTTGTTTTTTTTACCTGTACAAATTTTAAGTACAAGTACACAGATTGTGTTCTACAAGTTGTAAATCAAAAAGCTCTTATAGTCTCACTTTTGCTTTTAATGGTTCAGACATATTGTTGCAAAATCGTGTCTTTATTGTTCAGACTGTCATGAAAAGATCAGGTACAGCTCGCATATGTCCAACAAAAAGTAAAATAAATCCGAATTTGGTTCCCTTCAGGCTGCATTGTGAACACAGCCATAGTTAGATCCTTCATTCCTCTAGTTGCTTGGTTGTAGCGGCTCTGGACACACACAGTTATAGCAACTGAAACACTTGTTTTATCAGGTGCCAAACCAACTGGGCCAGAATACGTACCTACATTATTTCCTGATCTAAGTTCTCCAACAAGCAAAGGAGGATTTATCCAATGGCCAGATTTGAACTCAGGCTCTAAAAAGCAAACAGATTAATGCTGACGGAGGAGCAACAGGAAAGACTGGAGAAGACAGAAGGTGAATGCCA